TTGAGGTTGCTGTGAGCTAGGCTGACGCCACGGCACTCACTCTAGCCCAGGCAACAGGGTGAGACTCTGTCTCAAAAAAAAAAAAACATAGGGGGAAAGAGCGTTGGGCCTGGCCTATAAGATCTCCACTTTAGGCCAAAAGCAGTGTTTGAACCTTTAAGTCCTTTTCATACTCAAAGATGGCTTTTGCCTTGATTATTGTTCTCACTTGACTATATTATAACATATTTAATAGATTTTCTGAGTTTGGGGGAAACAGTCAATGATGTTAAAGCCCAATAATACTGCTACATTATTAGCATTGCAAAAACTCTGCATTAAATATAAGAAATGATACTTCAAAGTAGATATTCCTATTAAGTAACTTGAGATAACTGATCATTTTTGCATATATTTTACTAGTATGCACTAAGTAGAAACTGATTAACAAAAATGTTTTAAACTTTGACTATGTGGTTTTCACAAATATATGGTTTTCACAAACTGTCACTATATGGTTTTCACCAATATGGTTTGTTGGCTTTAAAATCATTGCTTTATAGTCCAGAAAATCCTGTTTTGTTAAAGCTGGGCTATGTTAACATGAGCAGTAACTTATTACTTTTGTGTAGTTGTTGTCATCTTGCCCCCTCTCCTTTTTAAAAATTAAAAGTAGTTGAAAAATTACTTCAGCTCTAGAAGTACCTTTTCCTTTGCCTTGACTCTTCATTACTTTTAGCCCAAATTCCACCTCTTATTGGGGCTTCATGAAGAACGACACTGTCTAATCTCCTAGTAGGAGGTGGTGGGTCAAGGTGAGAGGGACTCGTCTATGAGAACTCAATGGACTAACTTGAGATACTAAAATGATATTACCCGAAGTGTCTCATTATGGAAAGCAAATGACATCATCTATAGAGCAACTGGTTCCAATCTCCATGACACTCTGTTAGAGACAGAGTTTTTAGTCTCTAACATCAATCCTTTCAGTTTTCTCTTCCAAAAAAGTCTGGGAAACCTCAGCAGTAGTTTTGTCTGATTGCTCCATGAAGGAATCTCACCTACGATTTTCATAGCAGGGAGTGGTGATTACAGGTCATCCCAAAGCCTCCAGCCTAGTGATCATCCCTACAATTTCATGTGTAGGAAATCATTATGTTACAAGTATATCATGTTTACCTTTAATCTGTCCATCAACTGGCGGATACCCTTTGCCTTCCACTCCTACTGCCCTTGGTCACCCTCTGCTGTTTTTCACCTACGGTCTAACAGTACTGTAGCTTATTATTGATTATCCTGTCCCAATCACTGCCCATCTATAATCCATTCTCATAGCTCTCAGAGCTAACCTTCTAAAAGATGGATCATATCATGTCTCTCTACTACTTATAATTCTTTGGCATCTTGTTTTGTTTTATAGGATTCAGTGCAGGCTCCTTTATGTGGTATTTGGTGTCCTTCATAGACTGGCTTTTTCCTTAATAGACTATCTTTCATCATTGTGGTAGGCTCCTACTCCTCCTTCAGTATTCATCTTATCAAACTGATCAGTGGGAGTAAAAAAAGAAAAAAGATTCATCTTAAAGCCAGCCACCATAGTGTGTACCTGTAGTCATAGCTACTAGGGAGGCTAAGGTGGAAGGATCTTGAGCCCAAGAGTTCAAGGCCAACCTGGGCAACATAGTGAAACCCTCTCTCTCTTTCTCTCTCTCTCTTTATTTTTTTATTTTTATTTATTTATTTATTTATTTATTTTTGAGGCAGAGTCTTGCTCTGTTGCCCTGGAGACAGTGCAGTGACATCATCATAGCTCACTGCAACCTCAAACTCCTGGGTTGAAGTGATCGTCCTGCCTCACCTTCTGAGTAGCTGGGACTACAGGTGTGGGCCACCATGCCCAGCTAGTTTTTTTTTGTTTTTTGTAGAGACAAGGTCTCACTATGTTGTTCAGACTGGTCTTGAACTCCTGGCCTCAAGCATCCTCCCACCTCAGCCTCCTAAAGTGCTAGAATTATAGATACAAGCCACTGAGCCTGACCTGAGACCCTATCTCTGTTAAAAAAAAAAAAAAAAGATCCAGTTCAGATATTTTCTATGAAGCTTTTCCAGCCCCATTGCCACCCCAAGGAGAATGGTTTCTTCTTCATTCCTACCACAACGCTTCACCCATTGTAGCTCCTGACATTTAGCATTGTAATTACTTATCTATAAGAAGTCTGTCTTATTCATATAGCAAAGTACTTGGCAAATAATAGACAATCAGATGTGTATTACAGAAAGAAATTACTTACTTCCATTACTACTATAGGATCCACATAATCTAGATCTCAATAATAAGCTAAAACAGGAAGAGGGGTGCAAGGGGATAAGAGAGGTTGGAAATCACCGGCTCTTTTCCCTATCAGATCATGCCAATTCCGTCACTTTGCACTTTCCTCATTTACCTTGCAGATGGTGAGGATCCAGGAAAGTCGAGCCACACCATGTTAAAGAATGGCCATACCACCCCCATAGGGAGTGCCAGATCTTCTAGTCCAGTCCACGTAGAGGAAGAGCCAGTAAGAATAGCAAGTCTTAGGCAACCCATTCCAGAAGAAGACCCAAAGAAGCGACTAGGTAAGAAATTCTGGATGTTTTAGTTTAAGAGCCATGAACCAATCATTCTCATTTACCTCAGGGGTTTGCAAGAGAATAAGGAGAAGTAAAATTGAGAGGGAATTATGTTCTCCTTTAGCAATTCCTTAACTAGTGACTTTAAGTAGAATTCTCCCCACCCCATTCTTGCATTCACAGAATATCTAAATTTGTGATTGTTAAGGAAGGAAGAGGATGTTAAATATCAGACAGCTGTAAGATTTTTCCAAGCTACACATTCCTCTTCTTCCACCCAAGGAATTTGGATGTGCCTCTCGTCCCGTAGTCTGGCTCTTGTGTGAAAAATCACTACCATAATGAGCATCTCTTACTGAGCTTCTTGTAGTGACATTTCTTTTTTTTTTTTTCTTGTTCATCGTTTTACTTTTCTTGTCTTATTTTGATCTACCGCTAAGAGTCGACATTTCTTAAGTATGTTAAGGTTGAGAAACATTGAGAACTCTAGCCCGTAGACTAATCTGTAAATTAAATAATTGATGAAGTTAACTATGAATCCATAGATGCATTAGCTTTTTCAGTCTCTCTTGTTACTATTTCTTCCCTTTTACATAACATATGTTATTACACAGGTTCAACCGGAAGCCAGCCTAATTCTGAAGCAGAGTCTGTTCCTGAGAATGTACCCAAACAGCCTTTACTTCCTCCCAAAAGACCTTTGTCCTCTTCTCATGAAGCAAGTGAAGGGCAAGCAAAGGATACCACTTCCTCTGGCAGCACGGCAAGGTCCATCTTCACTACCACCACCACAGCACCTGCTGCCACCACTGCTGCCACAAGCCTCGCAAAGACTGTTAATTCCTCTGTGACCCCTTCCCCAGCACCCAGGACTCTGCCTACTGCTCCTGCCAGCACTAACACTACTGCTACCCCGAGCCTCACTCATACAGTCCCTGCCAAGCAGCCCCCTGTCCCTCCCCCTAAACCAGCTCACAGAAATAGCAACCCTGTCATTGGTAAGTAAGTCTTTAGACTTCTGATATTTTTTGTTTGGTTCGGTTTTGGATGGTTGCTTTTTGGATAGCTGGTACAATATTGATTTGGTCTGTGAGAGTTTTTCGTATCTTGTCCCTTTGAATATCCTCAGTATAAAGAAAAGTCTTGGGTTGGGAAAAAATATATGAGAGAGAAGTCTTGAAACTGAGAAAGATGGCAATAAATGGAAACATCACTAAAATTAGGTTTAGATTTGAGGGGATTTATATCTATTTTTCTAACAGTGTTTCCAAAACACTAGGTATATTTGGGGGACTAGATATGTAAAGACCATAACAGATTTGACCTGCTCGGAGTTATCTGTGGCACTTACTGAAAAAATAAGAATAATGACACAGCTTTCAAGGGACAAGGCAAACTTTTCAAATGAAAATTTGTTTTTTGTTTTTTTAAAAACCTACTTAAAACTACCAATGCCTTCCATAAGCATAATCTAGTTTAGTAGATAAAAGATGATTTTGTAGATGCCAGTGTAATTTGTGATTCAGAGTCTGACATCATATCTTCATGGATAACTGCAGAAGCTATTACTTAA